GTCTCTTCCTCAAATTTTCCATCACCAGTAAACACGACTTCAAGATACTTGCACTTCGCCTGTTCCATTGCTTCGCCATTTATCTGAAGAGATCAACGGGCAGGAGAAGGAGAAAGCACGGCTTTTCATCTTATATTCGTGCAAACATGCCTGCTATGTCGCACTCTGCTGTGAAGCTTTCTAAGGAACACTGTAGATCAGTTTCAGATGTCAATAAAACAAGGTCGTCTGCAAACAGCAGACCCGTGCTTTCTCGTTCCCCTGACCGCTGCGCTTTGCACATAAACGGAGAAAGTGGAACAGATGAACTACTTGACATGCCTTCGGATCGTGTTTAACGGTGATGGAGAAAGGGACGAAGAAGTCGACTAGCAGATTGGAATTGCCAGTGACGTTCTGAACTAGCCCTAAATGTTGCGCAGTGCTAAAGTAGAGTTTTTTTCATGCTTACCTATGGTTATGAGTCGTGGGACGTGACTGGAAAACTTTCATCAAAGGTACAAGCGGCTAAGATGTGCTTCATCAAACGAATCACTGGACCCACGTGCCTCGACATGTTTCGAAGTTCAGACATCTGAAAGGATCTCGGTGTAGAGCCGCTGCTTCTTCATACTGAGGCCATATTTGCGATGCTTTGGGCTTCCGAATGCTTGCAGAAATGAAGGCAAAACGGCTACTATTTTTTCAACTGGCAAGGCGAAGTCCACGGGAACGGCAGATAATAGCCTAAAGTAAGTGTTTCGAAGGATCCTGGTTTAAGCTCTGGGTATTTTCTATCGAAGCTCAAACAGTGCCTCAGAATCGGGAGCGATGGAGGCAGTCTGATGCGTCTGCCTCCGCGACCAGAAAGAATAAGCGGTTATTGAAACTGACTGGGGGATTTTGGATTTTGGAAGCGTAAAAATCAGCGAACTATCTGTCAAACGAACTCTGTAACAGACGATTCCGTATATTAACGATCGATATAGCTTGCTAAGTAAAATGAAAGAATATCATATAAAACGACGTACGATTTTTCCAAAACAAGATTGCACGGTGCATTATGCCGTCCGCTTGTTACTAATTGCCTGAGGGGGGCAATTAAGCAGGCCAGGGCTCCATAGTATGTGAGCACTTACATCGGATGCATCTCGCATCATTTTTCCACTAGAGCTACCTCGCGCTTATCACGAACAAAAGACCACCTATCAAACGAGAATATCGATGACCACAGATGAACGCGAACGACAAGAAAGAGCGAAAGCTCCTCGAAGAAAACATTCTCCTTACCTACAAGGTGAAAGAACAATATGAAAAGGCCTCGGTGATCGTGCCGCACGCAACAATAAATGCCACCTCTCCCAATTGTTAGACTACGCGAAATTCGCTAAAGAAAGCAACTAGCGGAGAAGACGAATCAAAGAAGCCCTAATCATCCAATCCTGTGAAAATGTCAACCGAGACAAAGGATATGAACTCTGTGCAGATTGCACAAAGATTATCAAGCAGGGGAAAAGATTCATCGTTGTTATACGCCTGTGCGGTCGAGTCCTATCCCTCCCTACTCCCACGTATCACATCACAAGCGATCGAATCATCGCCCAAAAATCAGGAAAACCAGGGGAGTAGATGCATTACGAGTTACTTGAAAACATTTGATGAACCCTGGGTCAGTGCCAACATTCTACTATTTTCAGAAGTTGCACAGATCACGTGAGTTATTTGGTGGTGGGGAGCAAAGAAGGGACGAAAATCGCTCATGTATCAACGAGCCATGCCCAACCACAACATATATCCTGAGATAAGGGCGTAATTTGCCGCGAGTAAAATCTGGCAGCAACGTCCGACGCGAAAGATAGCTAGTAACCCTGAGGCACTAATATATGCTGGTTAGGGCAAGGTAACGGGTGTCCTCGATAAGCGATAGACGGAGGATCACCAGAGTGTGCCAACGGCTGTACTGAACTGTATAACTGCGCTCTTCTCCCCTGCCCCTAGGATAGAGTAGACAGGGAAACCCAACAAACTGATGGCAGCAATCGCCAGAGACCATAGTCTGTTGGTTTCGCTCAACGGTCCCAAGTCGACCGCGCTTTTTTGTTGTTGTTGTTATCAAACCCGTGACAGAAAAACCACTTAACCAGCAACATGGGCCAAAAACACACCCTTGGCTCCAGACGATGCGAACCGCACAACCAACTGCAGAAGTCAACCTGGACCATCCTGAAGAAGGCTCGTGAGAGACGAGCCCAAACGTCGGCACTAGTCACCCGACTGACCAACTTATTTGTTTGCGTTGTGTATAAATAGTTTTTATACATTTTTCAGATTGAATATCACCGCACAAACAATTACTCAATCTTCGGTTATGTTCCTGTTATAACAACAACAGGTAGGATTACACCTTCTGTTAATTATCATCCTGAATAGGCAGTTAAGCTTCTTTGGCTCTACAAATACCAACGACGGTCGATACGCTACGATACCGAGTTCAACAAGAGAAATGCTCCAGTGGTGGCAGCATTCGGAAGCCTAGCGAGCATGGTGTCAACGAAGCATCAGCCTTGCAGATCTGCGTGTCCGAAGTCGTCCTGATTCTTTTGAGGGTGACACCATTCGAAGCCATCAAGTACCTTCCAGCAAGAATGTCTGTACAGTCTTGTAAGGATCTGTCGGTGCCATTGAGTAACGGAATGTACAGCATGCGACTAACAAATGAGACAGTGCAGCTGCGACGAATCAACGTGGTTTAACAGAGCATAGTTGTACGAGCAAAGATTAACATTGCGGCACATCAGATTCTTTTACGGGAATTCAGTCAATGTTCCCGCTGCCATCAAGGCCAACTCTGGACATGGAGAGACACCTTTTAAGCAGATCAGTAGTTGCATGAGTACTTCCTTGTCGAAAGTAGTGAACAGTGACAAAAGTCGCACTTATTCGCTTGTTCCTAAGACATCATTAGTTTAAGCACTGCAGTCCCCAGCGCAGGGCCTAAATCACAATGACATCATATTGTCGACGCATTAACCTAAGTGAAATTTTGACCAAATAACAAGTTAATAAAATTTTACAAGCCAGTAACATGCAAATATTTATTTCAACTAAAGAGACGACAATACAGCACTGACAAATTATTGGCTACGTAAGAAAAAGGCGTAAAACAATAAGGCATAAATCACATGAGATTTTCGTCAATAAAGCCCTGAGGCCAAACGGTAGTGACTGAAAGGCGCTTGTAAAACAGACCCGAACAATGCGAGGATCATAAACTTACCACACTAACAACAAATCAACAGAATTAAAAATACGATTTTCTTGAAGTTTTAACTGGGAAATTAAAAGATGCAGCAAAATAAATCGTGGGCTAAACAGATGCTCAATAATAACCGGATAACTGAAAGGAATGAATAAAATGTGAATGGGGACGTAAAGACCGCGAGAAAATTTTAAAAAGTAATGTCATTGTAAAGCTAAAGCATTAATTAAGTCTCCAATCGATTGGCTCTTTGCCGAACCTCACAAGAGCTTCGTTGGTGCGCGAGAAGCAGCGACAGCCGAAGAATTTCGTTGCCGAGAGCGGTGATGGATGGGCGGTTTTGATCACAACGTGCTTTTTACGATTGACCAACTTTTCCTTCTTATGCGCGAAAGCTCCCCAAAGCAGAAACACCACTCCATAACAGCTGTCATTTAGAGCATGAATCACTGCATCGGTGAAATTCTGCCAACCGATGTTCGCATGCGAGTTCGCCAGGTGAGCCCTGAACAATATAACCATGAATGCAAAGCTGGAGACAAAGCGGTCGATCTTACTGAACGGTCAGCGTTGCGTTGAGCAACAGAACACCCTGCTGGGCCCACGACGTCAAACAGCCATGCGATGGTCTCTCAAAACCCGGAATGTCGTTGGTCAATTCCGTATAAATATTCTTCAGCGACGGCGGGGGCTCGATCCCTACTGGTACAGAAAACGACAAGCCATGAGCCTGAAACAGTTATGCATTAGCAAGACTTATGCCAGTAACGAAGCTGCAGCTCAAAAAGAACAAAATATTGACTGATTATGCCAAAGTACTTTATTAAAGTAAATATAAAATAGACTACGAAATAAATCTAGCAATCACAAAGAAATAAACAAGTCCATATAAAACAGAGGTGGCATAGCCATGGCAGGTGTCTAACAGATCTTCTTAAAGTTACCTTCTGTTCTGATTAAAGCTGTAAACGGTGACCCCCCTGTGATCCAATTATTGAGGTCTCGGAGTCCCAAACGCATTTAAATGTAATCTTATCTCCCATCTAAGCAGATTCGTTTACTGCTAGAAAGTAGAGAGCAGGTTTTCTCATGTTGCTGTGATTGGTTGAGACCCTTGAAGACCATCGGCAATGGACTAATTAAGAAGCTTCATAAAACAAAAACGGAAACGTTTCATCAGTGTGTATTCAAAAATTATCTGCAACAGCGACAAACAACACAACTTTACCCAAGATCCCAAATAAAGGTGCGTGAAATACTAACCAAAACGATCGCTAGAAATTCATCGTCATGATAAACCGGTTGCACATTAAGTAATCCAAGTTTTGTTATTATCTTCAATTCCCTTCGAGACAAAGACGTTCATTAGCTAGAGTCCCTCCACCCAAGTCTGTAATCAGACTACCACTGCCTTAGAAACGCTGCAAACATGCACGAGGATAACTGCACGGCAGTCAACCTTATGAGTTGGCGGAAATAGTAGTTGGAATCTGATAAGACAGGACGACGATGGGAACTACGACTAGAAAACGGACACATGGTCGAGATGGAATCCAATTTTCCCCTACATCTAAGCATAAACATTCAATTGTTTCAGTTTCCGCAAGCATTGAGCGTATTTAGGAAAGTTTAATTAAAAAGGTTATCATTTGATGTCGCCTTTTCAACGAACGGACGGATAACACAAAAGATCCACCTTACCTTTAAGACAAAAGTTGTGAAAGGTAACAATGGTCCCATTGCATGCTTGGGTGTAATAACCTCTGACACCGCTAGTCTTTGTAGAACTGCGAAACCATAACAGAGGCATTTTCCTTTCGTCAGATTCATTCCATCATTATCCTAGCACGAAAGGAACAACGATTCACGCTAAGGAAATGCCTGACAGGGCGAAATACGATCTGAGTTGTTCCCGTTTGGCCACTTCGGAAGTCATGTATGCATTTAAAAATCACTCCT